GGTTAGCGGGGCCTTAGGGCAGGGGAGCTCAGCTTTCCCCAGGCTCCTTCCTGCCACCCAGCTCCAAGTCACGTGAGTGGTCTCAGCTCTCCATCCTCAGTCACCATGGGGTGGCAGGGATGAGACCTGGCTCCCTTGGCCTCTGTGCTGAGGGCAAGACTCTGAGCAGACTCCCACAGGGCTGTGCGAAGCTGAGCTCCTCACCCTGCCCGTCCCACCCTTGGGCGTCCCTTTGGCTCCCTGCCCTCACTCCCCATGTGACCATGCAGAGCCTGCTTGCTGGCATTCCTCCCCACAGGATTCTGTGTTCCTTGGACCGGCTGCTCCCTTCTCCATGTGACACCAGTTCCTGCTTCTTCCTTCACTCATATTTCAGCTCCTCTACGACGTTTTCCTGGAACCTTCCAGACGCAGCTTTGCTTGCGTCCCCTGGTGCCTTCCCTGGGCCCCTACCCACAATCTTGCTGACCCAGCACACGTCTCCATGCGGAGCCTGCAGGAGAGTCAGGAGCCTTCTGGTCCTCTAGCCATGGCAGGAAGCCAACCCCATCACAACTGTGAAGCTTGGAGTGAGAGGCAGAGAAGCCTCTGCAGCCCCAGAGTTGGGAAACTCTCACCTCCCGTGATGAGGAAACTGAGGCTTTGGCCAGGTGCCACCTGTGCCAGGAAGCTGTAGTAGCCAGGCCATGGGAACAGCAGGTGCCCCCCTGGTTTCTGCACCTGAGGCCACCACAGCAAGGAGAGGTAGGGAGTGAAGAAAGGACAGAGAAGCTGAGAGGAGCTGCACAAGCCGTCCTCCGAAACATCACCCGGCCCACTCATCCCAAGGCCTGTGCCTAGAGTTTCTGTTCCCCAGACAGGATGTCACCTTCCCTCACTGTGTGGGGAGAGGGCTGGGAGGCGGCTACCTTCCATCTGAAGGCGGTAGAGCATGGAGCAGCTGTTCACCACGTTCAGCATGGTACCACTGGCCTGCATTTGAGGGAGGATCTGGAAGACAGGGGCCATCGGAGTCCAGGCTCAGAAATGTGTCTGATGAGAGGGTCATGGGAACAATCACCGTTGACTCACCTGAAGTGTGAATGTGGCCTGCACAGAGCAATTCCTCAGCAAACCGGAATTACCAGTGATTCCCAACACCTCATCCATCTCATCATCACCCTCATATCTCAACCTTTTGTCTAAGACCATGTGCTGGACACTACTCTTGCTGAGGGATCAGACAGCTGTGGGTGCCAGAAGATGTGCCAGGCACACAGAAAAGCCCACGGCATGTGTACCCAGGGTCAGGGCTATGCCTAGTTACTTGCTAACCCAGCTCCATACCTTAGGCCATGTTGGCAGGAGATTCATCTCTCCTGGTCAGGTTTCTAGATTGAGCTTTGCTCAATAAGTGACCTGTCAATACCTCAAGACACACGGTGCATGTCACCTCGTAAGGAGCCCTGAGGACAGAAGGATTCCTTCATGGAAAACCTAATTAGCCTGTATCTCTGGTATGCAGACTCCCACACCGTGAGCACCCTGCGATCCCAGGTTTTTGCTGTTAAGACCTGGCTGGGGAGTTTTTCCTTTCAAAAGCATGCCCAGGGTCTGAGAAGAGGGAACTTGAGTCTGGGCAGATGGCGAGGTTCTGGAGGTGACAGATAGAACAGGACCCAGAAAGCCCAATGTGCTCAATGCTGAAGTGCTACAAACTTCAGTTTTCTTTCTATTTCTTTTTCATGAAATGCTGGTGGGTTGAACCTAGTTGAAGGAGATGTGCATCCCGGCAAATGCTCTAACATTGACCTTATATCACATGTCCTGTTTTGTTTCTTTTTAATGTTTTCTTCTGAGATAGGGTCATACTCTGTGGCCCTGGCCTGCAACTAATCCATAGAGACCCACCTGTCTGTGCCTTCCAAGTGCTGGATTAAATGTGTGTGTAGTTGGGGCCAACAATTTTTAAAAATATTGTATTTTTTAAAATTTTATGTGTATGGGTGTATTGCCTGCATGTGTGTAAGTGTACCCGTGTTGTGCAATGCCTGCAGAGGACAGAAGAGGCTGTGGGATCTCTTGGAACTGGAGTTACAGACAGCTGTCAGCTGCCATGTGGGTGCTGGGAATCGAACCTGGGTCGTCTGCAAGAACAACCAGTGCTCTCAACTGCTGAGCCATCTCTCCAGCTCCCAGGGCCAGCAATTTTTAAATGTTCTGTTCTGAGACAAGGTCTAGCTAAGTTACCCAGGCTAGTCCTGCACTCACTCTGTATGTAGTCCAGGCAGGCCGTGAGCTTTCAATCTTCTGCCTCAGTCTCTCAAGTAGCTGGGATTACAGGTCTGTGCCACCAGACTTGGCTTAATTTTTGCTCGTATTGGTTTTATGACAGTAGAAACACAGCTGCAGATGACTCAGCAGTGTAAGAACACACTTGTTGCCAAGCCTGATTGGACCCCTGGAACCTACGTGCTGTAGAGAAAACTGACTTCTGAGTTTTCTGTGGCTTTCACATATATACCATGACATGCAAGTATGCACACACATACAAAATAAATACATTTTTGTAAAGTTAAAAGCAAAAATCAGGGCTGGAGAGATGGCTCAGAGGTTAAGAACACTGGCTGTTCTTACAGAAGACCCGGGTTTGAATCCCAGCACCCGCATGGCAGCTAACAACTGTCCGTAACTCCAATTCCAGGGGATCCGACAGCCTCTTCTCTCATCCGCGGGCATTGCACGACATGGTGCACTTACCTACATGCAGGCAATACACTCATACACATGAAATAAAAATAACAAATAAAAGATTAAAAAAACAAAAACAAACAAGCAGCTCAGTGTGGTGACACATGATATTAATCCTATCACTCTAGGGGCAGAGGCAGTAGATCTCTGTGAGTTCAAGGTGAACCTGATCTATACAATGAGTTCCAGGCCAGCCAGAACTCACTCCACAGTAAAACCTGTCTCAAGCAAAACAAAACAAAATCAAAAAAATTCTCCTGTGGAGAGACAACTTATCTCACCAAAGAACAGCCATCTAGGGGCTGGAGAGATGGTTCAGTGGTTAAGAGCACTGGCTGCTTTTGCAAAGGACCTCGGTTAGATTCTCCAGTACCCACATAACAGCTAACAAGTCTCCCAAACTCCAGATCCAGGATATCTGATACCCTCTTCTGGCCTCCATGGGCACTGTATGACATGGGCTCACATACATGTAGGCAAAATATGCATAAAATCAAAATTAATAAATAAAAGTTTTTTTTTTTAATATGAAAAAAGAATACCCATTTAAAAGGACTAAGGAGAGTTAGAGACTCCCTCACACAGGTCAGTCTCCTAAACACTATGGGGTGAACAGTCCCCAGAGGCTCCATGAGATGGTGAGTCAGGACACAGCTCTTGACAAAAGCCAGCGCCCTGGAGCCTTGTCCAAGGACTGCATCCATGTTCCCTCTATCTGCTCTGGCTTGGACAACACTAACAGGCCCCGTGAGCAATGAGACACGAGGCCAAGTGCAGCCATGAGCCACACACCGAGAGGGTGCACACTTACATGATTGTCGTAGATGGTCAGTGCGGCCTCATAGTCTCCCTGGAAACATGGAATTGCTGTGATTAGCAACTGGAGCAGGCAAAGGATGGTACTGGGAAGTAACCTAGGGAGAGCTGGCCTAGGCCCTGTGAGGGAGATGGGCAGGGCTCAATGTGGGAAGGGAGGGGAGCCCCCCTGGTGTCATGGGAGCCTCACTTTGCACACGGTTCTCTCTCTGGGCAGTTTAAGACCCTCCTGTCTTTTTCTGGTAATAGTGCTGTAAGAAGCACTCTCTGACAAACAGGATGCTCCAGGGGAATCACTGAGCAAGCATCCTTCCCTCCTCCCAGGAGATTTCCCGGCTCCCCAGGTCCAGTCTGAGACCAACCCTATTTCCCAGCGCAGAAAGCACTTAGTCCCAAAACACAGGTAAGCCAGGTGATTCCGCATCACAAGTGTGCAGAATGACTTTGAGGAGATCAGCACTCTTGGAACATGGATGCTGGACTGATTCGGGGTGTTGTGCCATGCCAAAACACAACGGGGTTCCACAGAAGGCACACACCAGTGGGAGCTAGGAATCCCCTGTTCTCCAAACATCTGGACTGGATGAGACAATCTGAAGAGATGGCATCTTACCTTTTCGATCAAGTACACGGCCCAGTGCCAATAATTATGGGAAGCCAGCATATCGGAATCCTGTAGATAGAATAAGAGAAAGGTCTGAGAGTCTGTGGAGGAAAAACCGGTTTTACCGTGTGCTAAGGAAGGCTTAAGTATCACTGTGTGCTACTGCGGGCTCCAGACCTGAGGGCAGGAATTCACCCTGTGAGAGGCACTGCTAAGAGTTCACCCTGTGTCAGCCATCTGCATTTCAAGAACAACCTTCATTTCCTGGAAGCAGTGACTATTTGCCTGCATTTACCAGGAGGAAACTGAGGCTGGGAGAGGGGCTCAGCTCCTAGCCCCCAACTAGGAGGCAGCACTACCAGGACCGTCACAGAGGTGCCTCAGCAGCCCAGTCTCTGTCTCGGGTGCGTGTGCAGTGGAGAAAGGAATAACAGACTCCACAGAGCATAGAGCCTGCTGTGCGCCCCAGTGGCCAGGGCATGAGGATGACCAGCTACAGGGCTGTACTCCAGGGCAGCCGGCAAAGCCCACAGGGTGAGGGGAATGAGCTGACGTGTGGACCACTTCTGCTCTGCCACATGCTGCAAGCCGGCTCTCAATACGAGGCTCTCTAAAGTAAATTGTGCTGTGCACAGAGCTGCCCCTGCTGCGATGCTCCAGGCTTGGGAAAGTGGACTCAGGATTTCTGACAGGTGACACCGGAATCTAAAACAAGCTGGTCATGAGGACGTGGCCAACAGCTGTCCTTGAAGAGGTTCTTGAAAAAGTCAAGCCCACAGGGGTTCCCTGCACACAGCTCAGGCTGCACAGCTCCTGTCAGGGGCCAGCCAAGTCCACGAGTTCCCAAGCCTGTCTATCTCACCACAAGCACACGGTGGTATTCAGTATGCACTGAGCAGATGGCTTGGGGTTGCCATCCTAGGCCACAGGTCTATGGGGACTCTCATCCCTTGAGCCCACAGGGCTCATCTGATCTCTGTCCAGAGGTCTCTGTCCTGAGGCCTAGGCCGAACACCCCCTCACCTCCCCGGGGAAGAGGCCCTGCAGCACCTTCTACAGGGCCCACATTCACACCTGGGCTTTAGAACACCAAACTGGGCTTGAGAACACCCTCACAGGCCACCATAGGCCTTGGCGTCTGTGCTTGGACTGATCCTGGACTGGGGTTCCCTCCATCTTCCCATCTCCGCTGACACATGTGTCCTCATTCTACAACACCCAGCTCAAGGTGACCTCTGCCATTGTCCCCTCAGCCCACCTGGGCTCCATGTCGCCTCCTGGTTCCCACACCCTCAAGTACCCCTGTGATGGTGTAGTTCATGAACTACCATGAGGCTTCTCATTCTAAGTGACCAGGCCCTGCTAGGACAGGGAGGTCTCTCTCTCTCTCTCTGTGTGTGTGTGTGTGTGTGTGTGTGTGTGTGTGTGTGTGTGTGTATGTGTGTGTGTGTGTGTGTGTGGTGACCCCTAGGGTGGGGCAGGGCCTGGAGTCCGGCCTGAACTTTGCTGTCATATATAAGGGCCAAGGCAGGCATGCGC